GAAGTGTTCTGAGTATCTGTGAGAGACGCGAATTTGAATTGTTGTGTTTTAATCGTGGTCAGTGCTGCACTTCGTAAATACACCGCATGGGGCGTGCAGTTCAAAGTACAGGCCTTACAAACATGTGTGAAATCAAAGGTCGCTGTGGCTCACAGATCAACTGAATTAAATCTATTTTGAAATTGGGAAATTCCAGTATCAGCAAAGCACTAGAGCCCATAGCCGTTAGTTAGCTGCATTTTGGGGCTAATACATTGTACGTAATACCAGACCTAGATCAGGAATCCATGTCTTAAAACACTTGAACATCATGAAATATTTACATATAAAAATCATATTTGATACTGTTTATGATATGTACCAATGCAATTGCTTTAGTTTAGATATAACTGTGAAGCAGTAAAGTTAATAAAAATGCCCACATTATAACATCCGTTGAAAAACGGAGGCTTGAAATTATATCTATAGCGGACTCACCTTACTGCTGTATGTAGGATACAGGTGGACTGTGAGCTGGCTGTCACCTTTGACCCACCTTACCCACGTAAGGCCGTGTTTATGTGAAGTCACCCAAACCGCGATTCGGGTAACTCACATTCCTCACATCTGGTGAAACAGTGTCCGATCACAATTCTCCTAAACTTCATTGATTGTTGTTTGATAACAACACGCAAGGTAGTATGTTATCAATGTTAGAGGTCAACGACCTGCTTGCTGGTGCCCCGCCCCCCACCCTCCCAGCGTTATTACTAATCTTTAAGTTGGTAACACGTAAATTTTGGTACGAAGTGCATATAAATAAAGAAATATTCATGACCGGGTCAATATGTAAAATAAACCGGTGAAGTCACGTTCAGACGAAAATGGTGATCCGGTGAAACCGTTTCGAAACTAACTCCGGAAGTGGTTTGGGATAGAGGCGCTTTCAAAGTGATTTTCAGAGTATAGATGGGGCCACTTGAATCAGGCTTCGGTGGAAACAGGATCGAAACCGCTTAGAGCGACTTGGTGTGAACGGGCCCTTATTAATTCCAAGTGAAAACATTATGGTATGAGAGGGCGCGGATTGGTTGTGCAACGGAACTTTCTCACCACCGCGCGGGCCCCTGATTGGTCAGGCTGTTCCAAAAGGCATCGACACCCGATCATGGTGTTGGAAACTTCAACTTTGACCCTTTGATTTTTTGGGTAAATTTCATTTGTGACCAAATAGCAACATTTGAAGAAGAAACATGAAACATTACGAGAATAGGGCTACATAGCTACCGAATATGATGTTTTTTTTATTTTCTATTTTTATCAGCCGCCCTGATAAGGGACTGTTTTCAACTGTTCAGGGCAAAATATGAGCATTTTGCAGTTGATTCTGATTTTTTTTTTTTTGTCAAATCAGAAAAACGAAGTGGGCGAATCCGTTAACGTTAATGGAGAGTTAAAACTTTCGATCTACTTAGAAGACCAGAGTGACTGGTCGAAACCTCTAGGTGAGAGAACATGTTGTTGGATCTAGAGGTTAGGACAAGTGAACTATCTAACATTCCAAACGCCATGCCTGTTTATTTTTCTTGAGTCCTATTTACGGAGTGTTGAGATACAGTATTGTTTGCTTGAAGCATTGCCCCCTGGCGTAAGTCTAGTGAATTGCACACCGTAATTCCTGTGTTCTTGAGAATTTCAGAAGTTGCAGCCGCCAATGCGATCTACAACAAGATGGTGTCTATGGGGAAGACCAGGGCGGCCGAAAGGTTCCAGAAGAGGGCGAAGTCTTACAGTAAGTTGCGACTACAGAGCATTAAATGATTCCATTATATGGATGACATCCTCTGGGAACTCCAAAACTGATGCGCGCGTGCGAATAAAATTTTTTCAAAAAAAGTTACTCTAATTCTGAAATCTACGTGGTCATGAAGGTTGAACAGCTAACAGACTATGGTTTGACGAATGACCTACTCTTCAAATTCAGTTCTTTACATTTTCGTCTTTTTTGTTTGATATTGGTATTCTACGACATTGGTATCGTTTTGAAATTTTATTTTTTTTTGCAACTTACGGTATATAGTTGCTCATTTTGTACGATTTACAGCATGGTTCAAAACTTTTTTTTTTGGAAACGGCCGAAATTCATGCGCGCGCGGATGTCATCCATATAATCAAATCAACATGGCCATGGGTACACGTGAATGATTGAATATCAAGAGTCTTTCTATATAGGCCAATAATATATGCAACGTTATTTTAACCTAAACCTACTTTACATTTGGAACAGTATCTCACTATAGTTGTAACAATGCATCTATGTATGTCACAATTACTTAGCGTTTGGGACTGCATTGCTAGCGCTTCAGTGCAATGTGATCCCGTCATTTTAGCCCTGATGACAGACGGTCATCACAACTTAGTCTCTTGTTAACAACTAGTTGTGAATAAAGAATTCTTGACATTCTAATTTCGATTTTCAGTGTTGAATCAGTGTAAGCTCAAACGTTGACATCTATATTTTGAAGAAAATTCAGTGATGATACTTTATGTGAAGCCATTAGAATAATATTTTTTTTGTTTCTTTCCCTGATAGTTCGGAGAAGCAGAAGGAAGGGGAATTAGAATGTCGCTTGACGTACCAACGGCGAGATTGACTGGACTGTCCGATGACTACTATATACGGAATATGATTATTATACTTATAGAACATAAAGCTTGTTGCATATTGCTATCTAAAATTAACAAATGTTGCGTCTATTACTAATTTTCGAGTTGTAGATTGCGATCTTGTACGAAAATGTAAAAAAAAATGTTTGAACTACGAGTTTCAAGACTGTACGTTGTAATGTAATCTGAAAATGTCACATGTAAACTTAGTATCTGTGAATGCCATAGTCAGCTTAGAGAACTTATGAAAATGCAACACTAACAATGGAGCCATGTATTTCTGTCCACTTTTAAACGTCCATTGAAGTAACATGTTCAGACCACCGTTCGATACTTGTACTCGAATGTCTTGAATACTTGAATCGTAGAGAATAGAAGTTAACTGCTTTGACAATCATAGACCTGTTCACGCTTTCTTTGCATATATTATTCGGTTATTACTAATCTTTAAGTTGGTAACACGTGTATATAAATTAAGAAATGTCCATGACCGGGTCAATATGTAAATTAAAACCCTCAAACACCCGAACGGGGTCCATTTGGACCCCAGACGTATAGTTTTTATGTGCTATTTGAATTTTCCTAAAAAAAAATTCCTCCCGTGACTTTGTCCTCCCGTCATTTTGCAAGCAATGGACATTTTCATGTTTTCTTTTGATGGCGCCAGTTCACAATATCAACCTATTCATGAAATGTTAAAGGTCTATTACGTTATGGCTTTTGTATCAAACATTGAAGTTTATTTAAAATCCTCGTGTGGCTGTAGTTTACCTTCACACATTCACAAAGTATTGTGCAATTATCTCACATTTCTGACATTTATGGTTGGCGCTAAAATATCCCACATAAGGCGCACTCAGTTTGTGGTACCACCACAAAATACTAGAATGTAAACAAACATGGTGGACAGCCTTTAAACACTGAGTCGAAAGGCATCATAATTTGGTACCTTTTACCTCCAGAATGACACTTAAATCTAAAGGAGTTAAGTTTCATTCAACATAAAAAAAAACTTTTTTTATCAACAATAAAATACATAATACGAAAGCATTTAACAATCATCTTTAAACTTAATCCGTATTGATAGAGGCCATTAAACAGAAATTTAATGTTTAATTTCTGACACAACAAATTGGACTTCCACAGTATAACTACAACACGTGTACATTGTTGGAACAGTTTAGCGCATTTGTCAAATTAATTTTACTACAGGTTAAAGCAAAGGTATTACATATATAATGTTACCTATTTACAAGGATTAGTCGAGGTGGTTAGAATTTAAAATCTATTTCATTCAAGAAAACGTCGCCACAGACTTTCTGCAACCTATGATCCACTGCTCAGGGAGTCACGTGTTATCTGCGTGACGTCACGGAAGCGTGGATTGTTCATTCCTTGACAAAGACTGGAGTGGTACAGTCAAAAATTTGGGTGAGTCCATTTTCTTGTGTTGGATATTACAGTTTAAACTAGCTTCATAATCAAAACAAATACGTAATTCAAAACTGCGAAAATTTAGTAAAGTTCAACGCATTTGTTCTAGGTCATTTTTACCCGAGCTAATGATAAAAGTTGGTTATCTATTTACAAAGATAAGTCGATGTGGTTAGAATTGCAATTGTTGATTGCAATATAAGATGCAAGATACAAGAGCTGCTGGCATTCTGGCAAACGGTTCCCTACTTCACTCACTGATTATCTACAATCAAACGTTTTCTCTGATTTCGTGTAAGTCTTCACGTGGTATTATCAAACAGTACGCAGACCGCGCGCGTAGTGACGTCGTTTTCAATGGCGTCGCTTCAACTGGACACTTGAATGCCGGTTTTCAACAAAATGTCAATGTCGTTCGGTTATTGAGCTGTTTGCTGCACCAAGGTGAGTTCGCATATGTCTCTTCAGATGATAAAGCCGACTGAACTGCCTGCCGCACTCTTCACACCTGTACGGCTTCTCACCAGTGTGAGTCCGCACGTGTTTCTTTAGATATGCCAGCTGACTAAACTGCTTGCTGCACTCCTCACACCTGTACGGCTTCTCACCGGTGTGAGTCCGCATATGTATCTTAAGGTAACTCGCCCGAATAAACTGCTTGCTGCACTCTTCACATCTGTACGACTTTTCGCCGGTATGAGTCCGCATGTGTATCTTCAGAGAACTCAGATCTCTAAACTGATTGCTACATTCCTCACAACTGTACGACTTCTCACCAGTGTGAGTCCGCATGTGAGTCTTCAGATGACCCAGCCGACTGAACTGCCTGCCGCACTCTTCACACCTGTACGGCTTCTCACCAGTGTGAGTCCGCATGTGTTTCTTCAGATGACCCAGCTGACTGAACTGCTTGCTACACTCCTCACACCTGTAGGGTTTCTCACCGGTATGAGTCTTCATATGAGTCTTCAGAGAACCCAACTCACTAAACTGCTTGCTGCACTCCTCACACCTGTAGGGCTTCTCGCCAGTGTGAGTCCGCATGTGTCTCTTTAGAGCACCCAACTCACTAAACTGTTTGTTGCACTCCTCACACCTGTACGGCTTCTCACCAGTGTGAGCCCGCATGTGTATCTTCAGACTATCCAGCCGACTAAACTGCCTGCGACACTCCTCACACCTGTAGGGTTTCTCACCGGTATGAGTCTTCATGTGAGTCTTCAGAGAACCCAACTCACTAAACTGCTTGTTGCACTCCTCACAGCTGTACGGCTTCTCACCAGTGTGAGTCCGTATGTGTATCTTCAAATCACTCAGATTTCTGAATCGCTTGCCGCATTCCTCACACCTGTAGGGTTTCTCACCAGTGTGAGTACGCGGTGAAGTTGACGTCTGCGCCCTTGTTGCCATAGTGATGAAGTGTTTGTCCTGAAAAAATAATGAAAAGTCCCTTTGTGAAACATTGAGTTTGAAACAATTTCTCTCTCTCTCTCTCTCACTCTCTCTCTCTCTCTCTCTCTCTCTCTCTCTCTCTCTCTCTCTCTCTCTCTCTCTCTCTCTCTATTTATATCATACCCGGGCCGCGATAACGTTCGAAAACGGGTTCCGGACCGGGCCGTACTTAACGTTATGTCCTACCTGGGCCGCGATTACGTTCGATACGGGTGTTCCGGCCCGTGTGATAACTAGCGGTACGGCCCGGGGGTTCTTAACGCGTACGGCCCGGGCCTTCCAAATGTTCCATAGAACGATTCGAACGCATTTCGGCCTAACCGCGTGCACCGATTTCCAAATTCGAATACAGAATCCGGACGTTGGAACTGATGTTGTCTCATTTTTTGGGTTTAGCGACCAAAATTTTCGCTCTTTTCGCATTGAAAGGTGAAAGGTCCCAGCCTTCCCGCGGATCGGATCTCCCTCCGGCCTTCGGCCGTCGGGCGATCCGACGCGCGGTCGGGCTGGTACCTCGGGCGATACGGAATACAACGTGTTGTATTCTATATGTACAGCCCGGTCCGGAACCCGTTATCGAACGCTTCCATGGCTTCCATAAAACGATTCGAACGCTTTTCGCCCTACCCGCTTGTGCCCCTTTCGAAAATTCGAATACAGAATCCGGACGTTGGAATTGATGTTGTTGCAGTTTAGGGTTCAGTGGCACCAACTTTTGGCTCATCTTGCATTGAAAGGCGTGTTTTCTTGGGTGGGTATGACATAAATAAAATACAACACGGTGTATTCCGCATCGCCCTCGGTCCCGGCCCTCCCGCGAGTCGGATCGCCCTCCGGCCTGCGGCCGGTCGGGCGATCCCGACCCG